GAAGCCCAGGAGGGTTATTCCTCCAGCTTCGCCCTTTTCCTTCAGTATTGCTTTGGCAATTCTGGGTCTTTTGTGATTCCATATAAATTTTAGGATTATCTGTTCTAGTTCTGTGAAAAATGTTCTGGGTAATTTGACAGGGATTGCATTGAATCTGTAGATTGCTCTGGGCAGTACGGCCATTTTAACAATATTAATTCTAATCCAAGAGCATGGAATATCCTTCCATCTCTTTAAGTCATTTTTAATTTCCTTAATGAATGTTTTATAGTTCTTTGCATATAAGCCTTTCACCTCCTTGGTCAGATTTATTCCTAAGTATTCTATTTTTTTTGGATGTGATTTTAAAAGGGATTGTCTCTTTGCTTTCCTTTTCTGGTAATTTATTGCTAGTGTAAAGAAAGGCAACTGATTTCTGTATGTTAATTTTGTATCCTGCTACCGTGCCAAATTCTTTTATCAGCTCTAGTGGTTTTTTGTGTGGGGCCTTTAAAGTGCAAACACACTCTTAAATTCCATTTCTTTTACCAACTCTGACTGCAACTCATCCATCCCACAGGAACTCTGCACTCTGTGGACTCCCACACAGCCCTGTCCCCGGGACCTGAGGGTCTCCTGGAGACTCAGGTGAGGGAGAAGACAGCACAGAGGGGACAGGTCTGCCATCAGCAAGGTGGTCCAACACCCAGGGTAGGGGGGCACCGAGGGGGTGGGCATGGGCGAGGGCTTCCCGGAGGAGGTGGTGTTTATGCTGACATCTGAGGTGTCTGAGGAGGGGCCAGAGTCGGGGAAGGAAGGGAGGAGAGAAGGTCCACGCTGCTGCAGACAGCGTGGCAGAGCCACAGAGGTGAACAGTGCCCAGTCACATAAGGCTTCCTGGGCTACTGCACAGCATTCAGATAAACTCTTCTCCAGGAAACTAGAAGGTTTGACAAGGAGGAATTAGGTGCATGTGTGAGCCAGACTCTGAAGAGGTGGAGGAGGGTCAGGAGGAACTGGAGAGAAAGCGCCTCACTCGTGGCCAACACCCCCTGGCAAGCACCCCATGGGGCCTTCAACCAGTGTTACTCAGAGACGGACAGTCCAGAATGTCTCCCATTGCCACAGATGTGGCCGGCCGACCCCACAGTGATAGAAAGACCACACTAAACATCACCTTTTGTGAAATCACCAAGTTGGACCTGATTTCCCGTAAACCACTGAGAAACAGGCAACTGTCCTGAGGGGTTTCCAGCATCTCTTGGTCCCTTGACCCTGCACTTGAGGGACCTCGAGGTGGGCATTCAGCCCAACCTCTGTCTTGTCTTTGGATACAATCCATTTTCCTCCATGCTCTCCTTCCAAGGAGAAGGAGCTGGAGGACTCGAGAGGACTGACCACCCCTCCCCAAGCTCGAGCAGCTTGGGACTGGATCTTTCTCAAGTAGATCTCAGTAGATTATTCAATCATGGAAGTTTAAAAATAAGAACCACACACAGTGGAATGACCAAACTCTCGATGAAAGTAAATGCAAGCTTTTCACACTGAAGGGGGAACGGAGGAGACGAAGGCACACAGAGCCTCCAAAGGGTCCAACAAGTGCATCTATGACCTCATTATGTAAACTCTTAACTTTTTTTTGTTACAAATGAACCCACTACTTATTCATTCTTTCTTCTGTTGTTGGTATTTTTAACAAGAGGTTTTCTAGCATAACATTAATTTCCTTTCTACACACCCCTCTGAGCCCCGGGCCAAACACAACAGCCATGGTGCCAACATCCTGAACTGCTCACCAGACAGCAGCGCAGGCCTCTGTCTGGACCATCTGACCAGCACCTCCACGGCCTCAGCAAAGCCCCAGGGATGTCAGGCAGGAGCCTTGTTGGCGTTTTATGAGACCCTGTACTTTTCTTGGCTCAGCTCAATACTCGTGACTTGTATCTTTTCTACTACAAGCTAATGTTCCACTGTGTTTTTCTCCATCTCTGGTCAACTACAAAGCTTAACACAAACAACATTAATTTAATGAATCCCTGTGCAACTCAAGGCACGAGGAGTACTCTCAGTGTTAGAACAGGAGGAGGGACAGCCTCCAAGATGCCGTGGCTCTGAGCTGTCAGACATTCTCTCTTCTGATCATTCGAGGACACAGGCCGCTGAGCAGAAGCACGGAGAGGCCGTTGTGGCAACGCGAGTGACTCCTGCGGCTGTGGCGGGCCCGGGAGTCACTACAGGGAAGGCCCACGATGAGGGAGCGAGGGCGCAGGCGGC